CTTTCTCTTGTCGAAGCCTCATTGGCTTAGGGGCAGAGCGTCGGTCTTGTAAACCGAAGGTCGCTGGTTCGATTCCAGCATGAGGCATCGCTTTTTTTCGAGAACCAAAGAACAGGAAACGTCTTCCTACGAACAACAAATAAAAGTTGTAGGCAGCCCTCTTTTCTAAGATGTGGTTACCATAGTTGAACAAACTTTCTGTTGTCGAAGCCTCATTGGCTTAGGGGCAGAGCGTCGGTCTTGTAAACCGAAGGTCGCTGGTTCGATTCCAGCATGAGGCATCGCTTTTTTTTTCGAAAACCAAAGAAGAGGAAACGTCTTCCTACGAACAACAAATAAAAGTTGTACGGCAGCCCTCTTTTCTAAGATGTGGTTACCATAGTTGAACAAACTTTCTGTTGTCGAAGCCTCATTGGCTCAGGGGCAGAGCGTCTGTCTAATAAACAGAAGGTCGCTGGTTCGATTCCAGCATGAGGCATCTTTTGTTCGAAGATTGGATTATGAGCTTGTGTAGCACTGTCCGTAGTAATGAAATTTAACGTGCTTCGATAAAGCTCAAGCCTCATTGGCTCAGGGGCAGAGCGTCTGTCTAGTAAACAGAAGGTCGCTGGTTCGATTCCAGCATGAGGCATCGCTTTTTTTTTCGAAAACCGAATAACAGGAAACGTCTTCCTACGAACAACAAATAAAAGTTGTACGGCAGCCCCCTTTTCTAAGATGTGGTTACCATAGTTGAACAAACTTTCTGTTGTCGAAGCCTCATTGGCTTAGGGGCAGAGCGTCGGTCTTGTAAACCGAAGGTCGCTGGTTCGATTCCAGCATGAGGCATCGCTTTTTTTTCGAAAACCAAAGAAGAGGAAACGTCTTCCTACGAACAACAAATAAAAGTTGTACGGCAGCCCCCTTTTCTAAGATGTGGTTACCATAGTTGAACAAACTTTCTGTTGTCGAAGCCTCATTGGCTTAGGTGCAGAGCGTCGGTCTTGTAAACCGAAAGTCGCTGGTTCGATTCCAGCATGAGGCATATTTTGTTCGAAGATTGGATTATGAGCTTGTGTAGCACTGTCCGTAGTAATGCGAAGCGAGATATAAATTTAACGTGCTTCGATAAAGCTGAAGCCTCATTGGCTTAGGGGCAGAGCGTCGGTCTTGTAAACCGAAGGTCGCTGGTTCGATTCCAGCATGAGGCATCGCTTTTTTTCGAGAACCAAAGAACAATAAACGTCTTCCTACGAACAACAAATAAAAGTTGTACGGCAGCCCTCTTTTCTAAGATGTGGTTACCATAGTTGAACAAACTTTCTGTTGTCGAAGCCTCATTGGCTTAGGGGCAGAGCGTCGGTCTTGTAAACCGAAGGTCGCTGGTTCGATTCCAGCATGAGGCATCGCTTTTTTTTTCGAAAACCAAAGAAGAGGAAACGTCTTCCTACGAACAACAAATAAAAGTTGTACGGCAGCCCTCTTTTCTAAGATGTGGTTACCATAGTTGAACAAACTTTCTGTTGTCGAAGCCTCATTGGCTCAGGGGCAGAGCGTCTGTCTAATAAACAGAAGGTCGCTGGTTCGATTCCAGCATGAGGCATCTTTTGTTCGAAGATTGGATTATGAGCTTGTGTAGCACTGTCCGTAGTAATGAAATTTAACGTGCTTCGATAAAGCTCAAGCCTCATTGGCTCAGGGGCAGAGCGTCTGTCTAGTAAACAGAAGGTCGCTGGTTCGATTCCAGCATGAGGCATCGCTTTTTTTTTCGAAAACCGAATAACAGGAAACGTCTTCCTACGAACAACAAATAAAAGTTGTACGGCAGCCCCCTTTTCTAAGATGTGGTTACCATAGTTGAACAAACTTTCTGTTGTCGAAGCCTCATTGGCTTAGGGGCAGAGCGTCGGTCTTGTAAACCGAAGGTCGCTGGTTCGATTCCAGCATGAGGCATCGCTTTTTTTTCGAAAACCAAAGAAGAGGAAACGTCTTCCTACGAACAACAAATAAAAGTTGTACGGCAGCCCCCTTTTCTAAGATGTGGTTACCATAGTTGAACAAACTTTCTGTTGTCGAAGCCTCATTGGCTTAGGTGCAGAGCGTCGGTCTTGTAAACCGAAAGTCGCTGGTTCGATTCCAGCATGAGGCATATTTTGTTCGAAGATTGGATTATGAGCTTGTGTAGCACTGTCCGTAGTAATGCGAAGCGAGATATAAATTTAACGTGCTTCGATAAAGCTGAAGCCTCATTGGCTTAGGGGCAGAGCGTCGGTCTTGTAAACCGAAGGTCGCTGGTTCGATTCCAGCATGAGGCATCGCTTTTTTTCGAGAACCAAAGAACAATAAACGT